TGGACATTCAGTATTAGATCACTTTCTCATCAAGCTGGAATAATTCCACATTGTCTAATAAGTAAATTTTAAAAGGGGAAACTGGGAAGAACAAGGTGACTTAAAGGGAATTTGGAAAACTTCAACTGTTTCCAATAAGGTAGAAATAACAAATCTTGTTTGCAAAGCACGCTGCTAAGTCATAAGGGGGTTATCCCTCACTAAAAGCTATAAATATTTACTGTTACATTAATACCATCTTTTAAAAATGAAATATGGTTGCTCTTAATTTAGCTCTTTCTCAAGGAGATGAATGGTTTTCATTTTATGCATGACCATTTAAGCAAGGGGTGGGGGGAAACCAACTCACTTTTCAGATAAAAGAATCTGGAGCCATGCTTGCTTTGTATTTCATTCCAAAATATAGATACAGTTTATCATGCTTTCTCAGCACTTCCTTAACTCATTTCAGCTTGCTTATGGCAGTCTTCCTCAATCTGGTATTCCCACTGTAGTCCTACATGCGCTACAGATGATCCTCAACTTACGACCACAATTAGAATCAGAGTTTCTGTTGCTAATCAAGGTGGTTGTTAAGGGGGGTGGTTGTATACAATTTTGCAATGTGTTTGCACAGTTGTTAAGTAAATCATGGTCGTTACGTGAATCCAGCCTTTTCCATTGACTTTGCTTGTCCGAAGCCAGCTGGGAAGGTTACAAATGATGATCACATGACCTCATGATGCTGCAGCGTGTATCACAAATACATGCTGTTTGTCAAGTACCCAAATTCTGATCACATGAGCATGAGAATGCTAGGACAGTCGTAAGTGCAAGGACTGGTCATAAGTGACATTTTCCAGTGCCGTTGTAACTTTGAACGGTTGCTAAACAAATGGTTGAAAGTCAAAGACTAACTGTACACACACACACACATATATATGTATGGTATTCAGCTTTGTTCGGGTATTTTCCCACGTCATTATAGTTGTGCTTTTAAAGTTGTAGCAACGTTTTGGCAGCATCTCATCTGCCATCATCAGGCTTCTGTATTGTGTTCGTCTGTGAGTCAGACTTTTACAGTTGTTTCAGTTTTAAATTTGGGGCTAGCCTACTGCTGTGCCAGAAGGCTAGCCCCAAATTTAAAACTGAAACAACTGTAAATATGACCGTGTGGCACTTGAGCAGCAACTGTTAAGAGAAGCCAATCTCCCAGACCAGGTCATCCTTACTATTCAGGCGTCTCGTAAATCTTCTATGATGCGTATGTACAATGCCACCTGGAGGATTTTTTGTCATTGGTGTCACAGGGAAGGTCTCTCTCCTACAGTAGCGGGGGTCCCACAGGTCCTCCATTTCCTCCAGGATGGCTTTGACAAAGGTCTGGCTCCTAACACTTTACGCCATCAAGTAGCAGCTCTTGCTTCAGTCATCTCTTTGGATTCCTTTCCTTCCTTGTCCCATCATCCTTCAGTTCAGAGATTCTTAAAAGGGGCTTCCAATCTCCGCCCTCCTGTGGTTCAAAGGTTCCCATCCTGGGACCTTCACAAGGTCCTCCAGGCCCTAACAGAACCTCCCTTCGAACCCCTCAGAAAGGTGTCCCTTCAATTCTTGAACTTCAGGGTGGTTTTCTTAATAGCCATCACTTCAGCTAGAAGGGCGTCAGAGTTGGCTGCTCTATCTATACGGCAGAACCTCTGCACTTTTCACGACAATAGAGTTGTTCTTCGTTTAGACCCTACCTTTGTACCCAAAATAATTCTGTATTCCACAGAGCCCAAGACCTAGTAGTTCCTGATTTTTGTTCCCATCCACATCACGCCTTAGAGCGCAAGTGGCACACCTTAGATTTAGGAGTGCTCTTAGAATTTATATGCACTTCAAAGTTTAGGAAGATGGAGGCTGTTTGTATCCTTTTCCCCTTCCCACTGGGGGAACAAGGCCTCTCCTGCCACCTTAAGCAGGTGGATCAGGGCTTGCATCGCACAGGCCTACAAAGCCAAAGCTCTGCCAATACCACACGGCTTGACAGCACACTCCACTAGAAGTGCTGCAACTTCGGCTGCCTGAGCCACCCAGGCACCCGTAGAGGAGATTTGCAGGGCGGCTACATGGACATCTCTGTCTCCGTTCATCAGACACTACCACCTGGATTCCTATGCCTCCACAAGCACGGCTTTTGGCAGACGGGTTCTTCAACGAGTGGTGCCTACTTCGGAGTGAGAGACTGGACGAGGACCCTCCCGAGGACATGAAGGCTTTGGTATGTCCCATCCTGAGCTCTCACAGCAGCATGGAGGAGAATGGGCATTGGTAAATTTACCTGAGAATTCCCTTTCTATCTATGGTGCTAGAGAGCCCAGCCCCTCTCTTGTTGCATCTGGATTGTGGTGAGGTATGTTATGGTTCACAATTCTGTTTTGGCTTTCAGAGACACTCACTAAAGTCTGTCAAGTATCTTCGCCAAAGTTGGGGGGTTTCTCCCACAGGCTGCTACTTTTATACTAAGACGGACCCAGCTTGATGATGTCATCAGGAGGAGTCATACCCATCCTGGGCTCTCTAGCAGCGTAGATAGAAAGAGCGTTCTCAGGTAAATTTACCAACGCTCATTTTCAGCTGTAGCACTTGGAGGAAGCCTCAGGCTCATGTCACTCATCAAAATCTGCTAAGTTCTCACTATGTTAAGGGCGCTAAGCCACATTCTTGAACTCCATATACGGCTATGCTGTTGTTTTGCATACCATATGAAGACCATCATGACAAAATTATTATCTCTGAAGAGTTGATTACATACCAACTAGGGGTAAAAGGAATTCCAGAGCTGGCTTTAGAAATCAGGGAGACTTTGTGAGCAGAATTTCTTAACTGGTTTGATATTCAGTGTAGTACTTGGATTTTAGTAACTGAAAAAGAAAATCCATGGTGGTCTCTTCAATATGCAAAATATGCCCTGTTCTTCAATAATTCCCCAATAACATGCTTTCCTCTTTCAAAAAATAAATGATTTAAATTTAAGTCTCTCAGTTTTCAGACTGCTAGGCAGTTCTAGATCCTTGGAATGGATCAAACCTGAAAATATTTTGGTTGAAGAACAAATAGGCTTTATAGCTGGACATTCAGTATTAGATCACTTCTTTATTTTGCAGTATCTACAATAAGTGAAAACTTATAAGTGAAACTTAAGTTGGGATCCACACATAATATGCAGTTTTTATCAATTTCAGAATCACTTTTGTACTTATTGCTACACATAGTGCAAACTTGAGAATAATGGATGCTTGCTTCTTATATAAAACTTTATGAGAACTCTAGTTTAAAAATTAGGTGAATGATGGACTATTATTTTAGATACCAATTGGTCTAAAGCAAACTTCATATAACAGCATATTGCAAGATAGAAGCACTCAACATTAATTATGCAAAACCTAAGATATTGGTGTATGTGTTTACAGAATATAATATAATAGTAATAAATATTTATTTTGTTTATTTCTTCTAACGAGGTTTTGTTTCACTATTTATTAAATTTAGCTTACTTCAACCAATTTCAATATCATAATTATTGGGTTTTACTGCACTTTTATTTCCTGTCTCACGATTCTTTTCCTTCTGATTTTGAGCTGGTCTTTAATTGTAATAAAGTACTTCTACTAACTTCTGCTCTTATCCATTTATATTCTTGTGCCAAATGGGAATATAGGTTATTTGTCTCTGAAGTTACTTTTATATTAAACTCAAATAATATTAGAATAACACTATAAAAGTATAGAAAGCCAGTTTGGTGTATTCAGTAAGGCATCAGGCAAAAAATTGAGAGACTGTGAGTTCTAGTCCCACTTTAGGCATAAAGCTGGCTTGATGATTATGGGCCAGTCAGTTTCTGACAGCTCTAGGAAGGAGACAGTGGCATACCACTTCTGAAAAACCTTGCCAAGAAAACTGCAGAGACTTGTCCCAGGAGACTCTGAGAATTGGCACAATTGAAAGGAAAAAATATATAGTTCAATTAATCGTGCTTGTTATGTTAAAGAGAGTGAGCAAATCATTAATAACTGCATACCCGAAATTATGTCATATTGTAAGAATGGAATGTGGCTTACTTCTTGATTCACACTAATTTTGGCAAGTACAACACAGTAAGCCAAAGTGTTCGGAAATGCACTGTATTCTTGGCCTTTATTTTTAACACAGAAATCTGACTCTGGGGAAAGCTACATGTCCTAGCAATCAATCATTCTTTAACCCTGCTAAAGGCTCCCATGAATGACAGTTGCTGTCTTTTCTCATGCCTATTAAAAGCCTAAGCCTACAGTTGAACCCACATGTTTTAGATTTCTGCATATTGATGAAGTCTAGTTGATTTCTAATGACTTCCATTGACAAAATGACAGACCCCAGCTTTGATTCTCAAGTGTGATTGATTTTGTTTTTCCCAAACTTTAGTGAAGCTATACTGACTATCTTTATTAAGATAGCTTCTTCTTAATAGAGACAAATTATTAGACATCAATCTGTATTTTATAACATGATATAAAAAATTTAATAGTTCTAACATTTCTGTATTCTGTGTGACATATTGATGAATGTGCATTATGGACGTAGCTTATAATAAAAGGTTTCTCAGTTTTTCTCATACTGCTATATGTTAATTTTATTTATTAGACTTTCATTTATGGCACCATTTGATGGCATGTAGAGTTTTTGGCCACTGGCTATAATCTTGCTGTAGACTGAGATATAATAGAGCAAGAAGGCAGGTGTACACTATGAAACTGATGCAGATGTATCAGGAAACCATGGATAAAACTTAAATGTATGTCGTCTTTATTCATCAGTGCAATCAGAGTTGAAAATCCTTGCTATTTTATTGTGATCAATGGCTCAAAATATTGGCTGTGCAGCTTGGATGTCAGCCAGTATGGTTATGTTTGGAACTAAGCTCTCGTTTTGTAAAAACAGAGATAATCTTTAATCAATGAATCATGTACCATCAACCATTGTTTTTTTCTGGCATTTAGATTGGAAGATTGATTATTGGACAGAATGGCCTTTTATCCACTCCTGCTGTGTCCTGCATTATCAGAAAGGTCAAAGCTGCTGGGGGAATTATTCTCACAGCCAGTCACTGTCCTGGGGGACCTGGAGGAGAATTTGGAGTAAAGTTTAACATTGCCAATGGAGGTAAGAGTTGTTGCATCTTTGAATATATTATAAAAAACCTAAGGTCCAAAAAGACGTTTGCCTATTACATTGCCTATTGCCTATTACATTAATTATCTATACTCATATAAAAGTTAAAAAATAATGTCTGTCTGTATCTGTCTAGCCAGCAAGTCAGCCAGCAATCCAGCTATCTATCTTAAGACATCTTAGATGTAAATACAGTATATTTAAACAATGTTTAAAAAGCTTGTAGACTTTTTTCCAATTATTTGTTTTTTTGGAATTAAAATCTTTGAATAGTCATGTTTTCATCTCTCTTGGTTCCAGGCATGAGATCCATGACAAGCAGTCTGATGTAGTAGCCACAGACACCTCTGTTGATATCGGCACAGCTTCCTGTCCCATTAGATTTCTAAAATATTCTTTAGAATATCTAAAATACTACTTTAATTATAAATAAGTAGGAATCTGATATACTACTGCAGCCCCATTTGGAAATATACCCATCTTCTCCACAAAAAGTTAATAGAAGATAACTGGCAGAATGCATCCTGTATGGGAAAAAAAAGAGTGACAAGGAATATTCTCACTAGTTTTTCCTATGGTAAATTAAATATGTTACTCTCCACATAGAGCATGGTAGCCATTTTGTGAGAACATTGTAAACTCTCAAAATTCGAGTATGCCTCTTGGCTGCAAAATTTTGTGCATAAGAACAATAGCAATAGCATTTAAACTTATACATCGCTTCACAGTGCTTTAGAGCCTGCTCTAAGCAGTTTGCAAAGTCATCTTGTTGTCCCCAAGAATCTGGGTCCAGTAATTGAACTAGATTGGGGAAAAAAATCCTACTAATTAATATTTGATGAGACATTAAACCCAAGGAGTTTAATTTGATTTTTCAGAAGATTCAACATATCAGACATTCAGATCAGTTTTAATCTGAAGATTTCAGAGACCATAAAAACCTGTAATAAAATACGCATGCGCTTCTAAAATACTATGTTAATTTAAACTTTTGTGTATCGTAATAATATATAAAATATATTTTGTGTTTAAGAGCATTTAATCCCTGTTTTGGGGCAATATTCAAGAATTGATACAGCTTATGTTTGTATTATATTTTCAGGTCCAGCTCCAGATGTTGTTTCTGATAAAATTTATCAGATCAGCAAAACCCTGGAAGAATATGCTATTTGCCCTGATTTGAGAATTGATTTGTCTCGGTTGGGAAGACAGGAGTTTGATCTGGAGAATAAATTCAAGCCTTTCCGGGGTACTGAATTCTTTTCCATAGTGTGGAAATTTGCAATTAAAACTGAAAAGTTAGTCCTTTAAAAAGTTATTGGCATGGTAATATTTTAGAATGAAATGGGAAATCCACAATGGAAATGTGGCTTTTTTCTTGTTACCCAAATATCACATACATTTTAGTACTATAAAGGCAATACCATATTGATAATGATCTTATTCTGACTGTGACTGAAATTCAAACCAACATCTAACTTTTTGTTTCCCTGGTTCTTGTTAGCTTAGCATTCCCATTCTACATATTTTTCTTCAGGCATTTTACTTCTAAATTTAAAGCACAAGTTGAAATTTCAGTTTCTCATTCTACAGCTTTTGTTTTACTTTGCTAAATTGATTATGGATTTTTGTGGTCATTGTGTTACTAAGCCACATAGGCATTTTATAAAGTTTTTTCATACTTGGTTTTATTTTAGTCTTTTCGATATCTTGTTGATATTTTGTTTTATTCTATTGTGTGCCAACAGTTCTGGAAGCAATATAGTGAGTTTTAGAACATATAACCCTATCTTTACTTGTGCCTTTATCAATCTGACATGATTATTACTGTCCAGAGCCTTTGTCTGAGGGAGATAGGCGGTTGAGAAATATGAAATATAAATAAATAAATTAAGCATGTCTTAAGCATGTCTCTTGCTTACTCATAGAATATCCAAAAAGGTAACAATAGTAAAATATTCAGAGTTGATAGGATCAGATAGAAATTGTGGCTGACCAAAAACATTCAGTGGGACATTTTGTGAAGTAACTCTTTAAGTAAAAAAACAAAAACCTTAAAGTAATACTCTGAGGGACAGTAAAGCATTGAGGCCTATGTTCTTGAAAGTGAAACAGTCCCAAGGACCTTACTAGGTTGCCTGAACATGCATGTTACATGTACATGAACAGAATACACTTCTGACAATTCTGTTGCTGAAGTGTTAAGCAACTTTGCCTATTTGAATAGTTCAGGCAACCCTAGCAAGAATTCTGCTATGGACATTGAATTGCCGAATTGAATGGTGATCTTTGATAAAGGTTAATTCCCAAAACGTTTTATGTTGTAGATTTTCACTTACTCAGTGATAAAAGTTTTTGCAGTAATAATTTTCATTTGGTGTGTATTTACGACTAAGCACAGTATCCTGACCTAACTTCTTTGTTTGATCTTTTGTGCACAGTTGAGATAGTGGACTCTGTGGAGGTTTATCTTAATCTTCTGAGGACCATCTTTGATTTCAGTTCTATTAGAGGCTTGCTAACTGGGCCAAATCAACTTAAGATCAGAATTGATGCCATGAATGGAGGTAAAGAGCACCATTTTTAGTGCAGTATGTAAACCACTGATTTTTAAAATGCTGAAAATAAGATTTAAAACTCAGTAATTAATTACTATTGATCTATAATAGGCTAGATAATCCTTAATGAATGCAGAGAAATGCACATGATTTTGCTGTTATGTATAATATTCAAAATGTCTCCCATATCTCATGCTCGTAAGGGAGCTATGTATATGATGAGAGTGGGGCAGAGGCAGAGAGATGCCTTAAATTTCCTACTGACTTAATTTTGGAGGTGAGAGTAAAGGTGAAAACCCCCTTTCTTCAGCTGAAAACCAAAATATTAGTTGTCTCTGGGAAAAAGCAATTATTGAATGTCCAGGACACTTCTTGTTTCAGTTAACTCATGAAAAGTATTTATAGCTTTGTTCTTTTTAAATTGAAAGAACACCAACTATATATACCGTATTTATCGGCGTATAACACGCACTTTTTTCCCCCTGAAAATAGGGGGCAAATGATGTATGCGTGTTATACGCCGATATAATGTTAAGAAGCCTTCGGTGAATGCTGCTGGGATCGGGGATCAAGGACACAAATGAAAGAAGGGGAGGGAGGAAGCAACCGAAGCCTGTCCTTCTCTCTGGGTCAGCTCTCTCAGTCGCTCTCTCGCTCCTCCACCAGCACAGGAAGAAACTGCTTCAAAGAAGCGGGGGGGGGGCTTTTCCTGTCGCCGCGCCCGTTTCTCCCCCACCCCGTCCGCCCGCCCGCCCGCCCGCAGTGCTCCGTTCTGCCTGCCTGCCTGCCTTCGTTAATGGTTGAATCGGAACAGCTTCGGCTGAGTAAAAGAGGCGAATAGTTATTATTCTCAGCCGAAGCTGCTCCCAAACAACCAGAAACTAAGGCAGGCAGGCAGAATGGGACACTGTGGATTGAAGCGCGCACGCGGGGTGGGAGTGGGGGTGAAATTTCCCTCTTAAAATGAAGATGCGTGTTATACGCCTGTGCGTGTTATACGCCGATAAATACGGTATATAGAAATCTAGCTCCTTAGCCCTTAAGATACAAATTATTTTCAGCAACTCCACATACACATTGCTACCTCTGTGCTAAGATAATTTATTCTTAACAGTGATATAGGTTACTTGGTATGACAAATGCATTTAATGGATTATATGTTGAAGAATTCGTAGAAACCGAAATTATTCAAATGTGACAAAAATAACTGGGACAAAGGTAACAGATTAAAAAATACATGATTATATTTTTAAGTGTATACATTTTTGCCCACAAACTGGTTTCTTCAGTTTACTCTATTAAAACTTTCAATATTAATAGGTTTTAAAATAATTACTGTCATCTTGAGAAAAGTTAAATATGTCAAGAATGTTTATACCACAAATAAAACATCCTTCTTTTACGTTCTTATACGCCATGATATCACATTTCACCCACTGCCTGTTTTCCATTTGTATTTTTTAAAAATGCTATTCAATTTTTTTTTCTGCCCACAAAAACACAGATACTATAATTGAGTTTAGATATATGACCTCATACCAGCTATTTCCCTCAACAATTGGTAAGGAGATATTTTCAAAGAGCTACAAAATTCTTTGCAGAAGTGGAAGAAAATCTGTCTCTTCCTTTAATTATGTTTCATGTTGGTGTTTAAGTAGAACAACATTCTTTTTTAAAAAATCAGTTTCCTTTCATTTCCTGAGGCCATTTTTTCTACTGCTCAAACATAAAACTCTGTCATTGTGACTACTGCTATAAAATGTCCACTAGTAGAATATTTGACCTTGTATCTGGTATTATACAGCTATTTCTTAAATACTCTCGTAGGTTTTTTTTCCCAAATAAAGTTTGTTATTTAATAATATATACCAGGTGGTATATATTGCTGCCCAGTGTTCTCACTACTTTTATAAAAATTTCACTTGGGAATTTCCAGAGCACAAATTAATCCAGAATCAATCTGCTTTTAAATTAATCACCACGCTAATATGTTTGGTTTTGATACAGGCTTTCTATTGTACAAATTATATAAGCAGCTGAACTGGGCGGGATAGGCCATAATAGGTCACCAAACTGTGACTGAAAAGGTGGCTAAACTGCTAATTTAGATAGTCTACAGGTGATTCTCAACTTGTAACCACAACTGAGTCCAAAATTTCTGTTGCTAAGCAAGGCAGTTGTATGGTGACTTTTGCCCCATTTTACAACCTTTTTGCCATGATTAAGCAAACCACTGCAGTTGCTAAATGAATCTTGATGTCGTTAAATGAAACTGGCTTTCTCCATTGACTTTGCTTGTCGGAACCCAGCGGGGAAAGTTACAAGTGATGATCACATGACCCCAGGACAGTGCAACTGTCATAAATAAATAGGTGCCAAGTACTCAAATTTTGAGCATGCTGCAACAATTGTAAGTGTGAAAACTAGTCATAAGTCACTTTTTTCAGTGCCGTTGTAACTGAACAGTCACTAAATGAATGATTGGAAGTTGATGCCTACCTGTACTTCTATAGCAGCATAAAGAACAAAATAAGTGCAATAAATAACTGAAACATTGGACATTTATTTCACTTCCCTAAAATTGAATCAAACGCCTAGTGAAATTACTGCATTCCTTCTGCAATAGTTGTAAAACAAAAATAAAAAATAAAGAGATGCCTATTCCATGTGCTTAATGCTGGCCCTCTTTTATTTTCATTGATTTATTCATTTATTCATTTATTTATTTATTTATTTATTTATTATTTATTTACTATTGTTTTTACTGTAATTTATTCCCTAAATTATTTGGTAATCAAAGGATATTTCATAGCCTTCATTTTTTAAAAAGGAGATTACCTTGGTCACATGCAGATGACCAAATATGCACATAAGTACAGAGGCATTTTTGGCAGAGAATTGCTGGATACCTTGTTTAATAGAGAGTTATATAATAACCTGCTTAATATATATGGAGATTCTCAGTCATCCAGGTCATAGTTGTCCCAAAGATGCTTTTTCAAGTGGCAACTGGACTTTCTGTTTTCTTGGATGAGAAGTGAAACATCTTCAAAGAAAAACAAGAAAGTCCAGTTGCCTCTCGGGACCCTGTTTAATGCAAACCGATTCAATTTTTTTTAAAAATGCATGAAGGAGTTCATTCTGAATATTTATTTGAAAATGGTCTTTAAATTGAAGGCAAATCCCTTTTGCAGTGATGGGCCCCTATGTCCGGAGAATCCTGTGTGAGGAATTGGGAGCTCCTGCTAATTCTGCAGTTGACTGTGTCCCTCTGGAAGATTTTGGTGGCCATTACCCTGATCCAAACCTTACATATGCCACTTCCTTGTTGGAAGCAATGAAAGGAGGAGAGTATGGATTTGGAGCTGCATTTGATGCTGATGGGGTAGGTTTGGGGAAACTAACTTCATAGCTGAAAGTGACCTAACAACTTTCAGAGGATTTCTATCTTTCACATAGTTATTAGGCTTTTATTTAAGCACAGAAGAAATTAACAGTTTAGTTTATCAGTTATGCCCTTCAAAATTCCCTCACTGTTATGAACGATTCAGTGGTTCAACATTGTTCAGGGCTAAAATGTTCAGAGTTCCAAAATATATCATTTAGTTTGTTACACGGGATCAACTGTAGATTTTTCAAGTTCAGAACATGTATTAGAATATACATTTTAAGTTCATAATGTATCTCATGGATTTTCCAGACAGATGCATGCATCTCTTTGATATTAGAAATGCTTGGGAGTTATTAGAAATGCTTGGCATTTCCAATAACAACTTTGATATTAGAAATGCTTGGCAGTTATTAGAAATGCTTGGCATTTCCAATAACTTCTTTGATATTAGAAATGCTTGGCAGTTAGAATTGGAAAACTGATTGAAGTTCCTTGTTGGAAGCAATGAAATGATATCAGTGTTCCGATATCTCAGGGGTTGCCACAAAGAAGAGGGAGTCAAACTATTCTCCAAAGCACCTGAGGGCAGGACAAGAATCATTGGGTGGTTACTAATCAAGGAGAGAACTATGAAGTAATTTCCTGACAGTTAGAATAATTGACCAGTGGAACAACTTGCCTCCAGAAGTTGTGAATGCTCCAACACTGGAAGTTTTTAAGAAGAGATTGGACAACGATTTGTCTGAAATGGTATATAGCCTTTCCTGCCTGAGCAGGGGGTTGGACTAGAAGACCTCTAAGGTCCCTTCCAACTCTGTTATTCTATTCTATTCTATTCTAAGTGTCACGTAAACAAATTGTGTATGCAGCTGAACCTAGCCACGGGACCTCCACCCCACCTCACTTTTGTTTTTTTTCATTTTGCATTATTCATAGTTACTACCAAAATAATCTCCAGTTTTCTGTAGAACAATCAGTTTTTTTTTTCTGATTTAATCAGTAAGCAACAGATGAAGAAACCAGTGTAAATGATATTTTGGAAGCACATTTTTAACTCCTTTGTTTAGGGCATGAAGAACTGTGTACCAAGTATTGTGTGACCATTTTAGGAAATGTAATACTGGACTTGATATTTCCAGTTAAATTCAATTCTTTATCTCATTCTAACTTATAGTTGTTTATCCTTCCTTTGCTGAAAAGATTATTGGGGAACAATTCCTGCCTAGTAGTGAAAGATTTATAGAGCATAATTATTGGAAATCTTCAAAGTTCAATTAAAGAAAACAGTTGATAACATTATACTTTGTTATAAAATACAAATAAGAATTCAAAATTCAAAATTGATTTTGCAGTTCCTAATGAAGGAGTATAGATAAAAGATATCTCCTTCCTCCTTCTATCTTCCTTCCTTCCTTCCTTCCTTCCTTCCTTCCTTCCTTCCTTCCTTCCTTCCTTCCTTCCTTCCTTCCTTCCTTCCTTCCTTCCTTCCTTCCTTTTTGATCAAGCTTAATGTAAGGGGAAAACATTACTATTCTTCAAGAGAGTATGTTTCCAGGAAAAAATAATATGAAACTTTGGAGTCAAAAACTATTTTTCCCCATAATTTATTCAACCAAATTAAACTTCTCCGGGGGGGTTTAGATCTCTGTGGGGTTTATCTGAGTACTACCGTATGAAACAGACTAAGCCAAATAACAATTTTGGGTCTCTCTGTTGCTAGACTGCAAATTGAAAAAAGGGAGAATCCGGCTATTTTTGCACAAACACTGCAGAAGTTCTTCTTTACTTATTCATTTCCTCTTTTCCTACCCAATATGGTATTTTATTTTCTCTTTCAGGACCGTTACATGATTCTGGGTCAAAATGGATTTTTTGTTAACCCTTCTGATTCCCTGGCCATTATTGCAGCAAATCTCCATTGCATTCCGTATTTTCATCAGATGGCTCTGCGAGGGTTTGGTAGGAGTATGCCTACCAGCACCGCTTTGGACAGGTAAGAGACAAGTTTCATTGGTATCATTATATATCTGGACATGGATAAGGCATTTACTGTTCTATTCAACTCCCAACCCCTTGGTTGCAGTTCAGAAATTCTGCGACTCCATTTCATCACAAACCACCAAGAGATTATTTCCCTCCTGTTTTATTTTCCCCTAGTTTAGGGTACTCATAAAACAATTGTCTAATTGCAATTGCAATTTTTTTTTTCAATCTACAGTATGTCTCAAAATAGCTCAATTCATTTGGGGTTGGGTGGGATGTTACTGTCCTGGGTTTCCAGATTTTTTTTTATTTTTCCAGATATGTATCTCTGAAATTCAACCTCAGCTTGTCACACTATTAAGCTTTCTGATCAGGAGTTATATCTCATTATCATATGTGTGAAGGACCACAAAATGACAATTTCTGAGTTAAGTATATAATGCGTACAGTTAATTGCAGAGACACTGACCTCATGAACCAGAATAATCTGTATAGAACCTTTGTGTATTTCAGAATCATTTTTCCAGAGAAACTATACAATTCAGAGCTATTGTTGTGTGTAGTGCATGTGTGTGCACTTCCACATAATAGAAAGTAGAAACTATGAGCAAAACACCTTTGTTTCAGGAAAATTGCTACCAAATTACAAATCTTTGTTTAAAATGCTTGAATTCTCTAGCTGTTTTCCCACGTCACTCACTCTTCCTGATTTGAAGAAGCCATGGGCATGATGTTTCAAATGCTGATCACTGCTTTTGATGCCTTTATTAATTTTTTTTAAAAAAGTTTTGCCCCATTTTACAACTTTGCTTGCTGCAGTTGTTCAGTGAATCACTGCAATTGTTAAGTTAGCAACACTGTTTTTAAATGAATATGGCTCCCCCATTGACTTCGCTTGTCCAAAGGTCACAGAAGGGGAAACCCATGACCCTGGGACGCCGCAACCATCATAAATGTGAGTTAGTTTGCCAAACATCTGAATTTTAATCATGTGATCATGGGAATGTTGCGAAGGTCATAAGCGTGAAAAACGTTCGTAAGTCACTTTTTCAGTGCCATTGTAACTTTGAGCGGTCACTAAATGAACTGCTGTAGGTTGAGGACTACCTGTACCTTTTTGGAGTGCAATCCCTGACAGATCATGCAAAAGGCCAATCATAGCTCTCAGCTGGAAAAAGGCTATCAGTCCTGGCTGAGCATGTAGTGCGAGCCAGTCATTGTTTGCTTAACCTATTTCATTGAACCAACCAATTTTGACTAGTAGGCAACAACAGCAATAGCACTTAGCTTATATACTGCTTCACAGTGCTTTCCAGCCCTCTCTAAGCGGTTTACAAAGTCAGCCTATTGGCCCCAACAATCTGGTTCCTCGTTTTGCCCACCTCAGAAGGAGGGAAGGCTGATCAAAATCTCTGGCAATGAGCGGTGAGTTAGCCCTGCAGTAGCGGGAGTCCTTGACTTACAACCGCAATTGAGCCCAAAATTTATGTTGCTAATTGAGACATTTGTTTTGCCTCATTTTACAAGCTTTCTTGCCAGAGTTGGACAGTGAATCACTGCAGCTGTTAAGTCAGCAAGACAGTTGTTAAAATGAATCTGGTTTTCCCCATTGGCTTTGCTTGTCAGAAAGACGCTGTCAGGGCTCCAACAAATCCACCCTCATTCAAATCAAAAGTCTCTAGCCGCATCTCAGAGGGAAAAAATAATAATTTATTAAAAGTTGCCATGTTGGCGCGTGGCTGGGTACAGCCGATACTAAATCACATCATACATTTCCGCCTTGACCCTGGTCTTTCCCCCACCCCCTGGATGTGACTTCTCCAATGGGACACATCCATCTTCAAGAGTCATCCATCATGCTCTCCAATAACCTTCTTATGCTCCGACAACTTTAGGCTGCTGAGGTGATTATCTAGGCATTTCAAGAATGCCTTGTTTTCCCCCCACTCCCTTTTTCTGGCAGCTAAAAAGACCAAAGGAGTGTCTTTTTAGTTGACAGTCGCAAAAGGTGATCACATGACCCTGGGACATAACAAAAGGTCATAAATATGAACCAGTTGCCAAGCATTTCAATTTTGATCACATGACCATCGGGATGCTGCAACATTCGTAAGTGTGGGAAATGGTCACAAGTCACCCTTTTTTAGTGCCATTGTAACGTTGAACGGTCACCAAATGAATTGTTGTAAGTCGAGGACTATCTGTACTGCATTATAACCACTGCTCCATCCTGGCTCTTGTAAGCAAAGCATAGTTAAATGAAATCATAACTACGTGATGTGTGAACTAAAGTCTAAATAGCCACAAACATCTGATCTGCTGATAAACAGGAGGGTTTAAAGCAGGGGTCCCCAAACTTGGCAACTTTAAGACTTGTGAACTTCAACTCCCAGAATTCTCCAGCCAGCATAGCTGGCTGGAGAATTCTGGGAGTTGAAGTCCACAAGTTTTAAAAGTTGCCAAGTTTGGAGACCTCTGGTTTAAAGAATCCTCTTCGTTATATACAGGTAGTCCTTGACTTATTACCAAATCAGAACACCATTTTAGGAACTTTTTTGCCCTGATTGTTAAGTGAATCACTGAGGTTGTTATGTGAATCATGCTGTCATGAAGTGGATTTCGCTTCCTCGTGGACTTTGCCCATCAGAAGCCAACTAGGAAGGTTACAAATGGTGATTACATGAACCCAGGACATAGCAACTCTCATAAATACGTTGCCCAGCGCCCAAATTTTGATCATGTGGGGATGCTGCAAAGGTTTGTAAGTCTTAAAAACAATCGTACATCACTTTTTTCAATGCAATTGTAACTTTGAATGGTCATTAAATGAATGGTTGTAAGTCAAGGACTACCTGTAGTCTATTCAACCCGTTCTTCAGTGCCTGATGCTTTTACACTGTTTGGCTTTATAGCAGGAATGGGCTATTATCCCATGCAACCTCCATTTTTCAATACTTAGAATAAGCGCAGAACAATATTTGGTGACCAAACCTTTGATCCTCAGTGAGGCACGGATTTTGCATTTTTCCTTAAATAACATGCAGACTAGGGTTATTCCCTATGGGGTTTGATGGGCTTAGTTTGTCTTTTAAACCTATCCAGAAACAAAACACAAACTTCAATTATATAATTGTGTCACTTACTGTGCTTTTTGCATGCCGGAGGGGCTGAGGAAAACATTCAAAATGGCCCTCCACTGTTGCTTTGAGTTGACTAGCTCTGCTTAAGTGACTTTGGTGAAACTCATTTACAAATTGTACTATTGAGCTCAGTCTTCAGAATTTCTGAGGCACTTTTGAGGCACTCAAAATTATATTTCTCTTTTCTTCTAAGGGTAAAATATTTTCCTTCCACCCCCCAAAATGAAAGTTTCCATGTTATCATTATTTATACAGGCATGTCTAACTTGGCACTGCTTTTTTCCTCCCAGTGTCCTTTCTTTTTGTTTGGATATGACAAAACTGTTTTGAAATGAATATTTGTAATGACTATTCCCAAAAACTAATCAAATGGCTTTGTAAACAACGGAGTCTATTTTGTTATTAACTCCAGAATATTCAGAGCAGTTTTTATTCAGTGGCCTTCCTCTGAATCCTGGGCCTCTTTTCATTTCCTTCATGTCCTAGACTGAACCTTTGACACTGAAAAGCAGAGGGAGGGAGGGAGGATAAGATTTCTTTAACCCACTTCCCATTGTTGAAAGGCTGGAAAATGCCTTTCTTCTGAGGGTTCGGTTTTCCTGCTGGGAGCACTCCAGTGCAAGGATTCAGACAACTGCTTGGAAGCTGGTTCTTTTTATTTTTCAGGAAGGCGAGAGATAGCAAGAAGTCTGCGTTCCTGGAGCTAGCTCTCTTTGTATAATAAACCCCTGAATTTTATACTTTTTCTCCTTTTGTGTGTGAGTGCTTGTGTTTGTATTTCTTAATGTTTTAAATCCTGTCAGGGGTTGTCTTCATTTCCGCCAGAGGGTAAACTCCGTGGGGTGCAGAAGGCAAACTTTGCAGGGTAGTTTGATTGGATTATCAGTTTCCTAATGTTTTCTTATATTTGTTTTGTGGCAATCTCCTGTCTGTCTCCTTTGCAATATATTTTGTGTCTTTTGTCTGTTTGTTTAGCTGATTTGGCATGTCTTGTGTTTGTAAGGGTTTTCTTTTCTTGTTTCCTTAGTTTTCTTAATTATTTGGGCTTTTGTCTAAGGGGCTTCTTTAATACCTTTTATTTGATTCCTTTTCCTATGCAAGTTTGTTTTATGGCTGGCCTGATGTTCCCTTTGGGCTTTTCCTGCTTGGGTGTCACCACTGTCCTCATGAAGTTCCCTTTCCACACCATGATAGGAGGTCTAATGAAGGGCCAGGATCTGAAAATACTGCTTTTAATTCCCTAAAGATGCACAGTTCAAATATTATAATGCATAATATCTTAATTTTAGTTTAATGATTATACAAACCTGGTCACTATATTAAGCCTAAGTTTATATTTTTAGCATAGTTTATATGCAACAAGCTAGATTAGGCTAAGGATGGGGGAGGGGTTTGGATAAATTGTGTTCAGCAGGTTGCAAGAATCTATTGATTGTGTGGTTTGTGAACCAGATAATTAACATTAAACCATAATGCAGTTTACTGCAGTGTTCTTAAATTGTGAGTAATTATACTCATGGGGATAATTTGGGCATGTCCGGGGCAATGGAAAAATTTGTAATTTGTAATTTTTTAGTCAAGGATCTAGTTTGGGACTGCCACTTCCAAGAGGCTTATGTAAAACAGCAGTTTGGATGTATTTTGTTTTTTAGAAGTAATGACATTATTCACTATTGGGAAAAGGCATAATTAGGTCAAATACTTTAAAAGCTTGGGAGCAGTCCAGAGTTTGGTGTAGGATGGGTGGCTATATAAATGTTTAAATAAATAAAGCCAATAATTCAAGCATAGTATGTTGCGTAATTAAGCAATAGCATTACATTAACCCTGCTTTAGGGTTTAATGAAGGGATGAGGACCTGAGGCCATGT